AATGACGTTATTAGCAGTTCCATCGTCTTTAGAGCGAATTCCTCTCAAGAGACCCTAAACGCTCCTGACCTGCCCTGTTCAGTGTTCTGATGAGTTAGTAATGAATCTCCAATTAATCCGTTGCACTGATGGGTTTTCGTAGAAGAAGGGAAGTTTCGAAGAGGCAATCATGAAGTGAGGTTCCAGTTTCCCATTGGAATGAAGTTGATTGAATCGGTGAATTGACTGACGTTCACAACACTGGTTTTCATGAGCTCCAGGAAGGCGTCGTCTAAGCTCCGCTACTGATTCACAGAAAAAAAGCACCCTTGACTGAGGGTCCGCTTCGTAGCTACGAAAAGAAAAAGAAAAGTAATTAATGTACCTGACCAGGGTTTTCTCTAAGAGCCTTTCTATAGTTGGAACTCCTCAAATACCTCGAGAGGCGATGATTCATCAGTTGGTCAATGTTTTAATTGATATTCCCGTCCGAGTCAATATTGAAGTAAAAAAGTAAACGAGACATTTGTTTTCCCAGTTCGTGTTCAGTGAAGTCACCAATAATCCCGCAAAGCGACACGAGGAGCTCCCATAGAAATTTTGCAGCATACACAACCACTGCTGCACCATTACAATCGTTTTTGGAGAGGGCACGAGTCCGTTTGTAGATAGACATGGAATAAGCCACACCAAGTTTTTAGGTGAAAATGAGTGAGGGTTCCTCTAGTCAAAGGGTGCCAGTAATTCTTGAGACGGAGTTGCTCTTACTGGCGGTACCACCCGAATCGCTGTCGCCGGTATTGCCCTCGACCGACATTTTTATTCTTCCCCATTTTTCTACACAATGACCCATGGCTGCACTTTTAATCTTTATGGATGGGATGCGGCAGAATGAAAAGATCCCTGCTTATCTACGAACTCAGCCATAAACTTTAAAAACCGTTGAGAGAAGTTCTGTTAATCTGGATCTCTTGTACCCCTTTTACCCTTACCCTTTTCCTCTGCCTGGTTTATATGCCTTAGTTTCCAACGCCCTGCATTTGGACAGTGATTGAGTAGATTATCATTTTATCGAAATGAGCCCAGTTTCTAACGGAGAGCTCATGGGAATCTTGTGCGAAGTAGAACGCATGGCTCACTCTATAAGCATTAGTTTCTATCGGGGTTTTCCCTACTCGGAGCGTCCCCAATTACTCCCATAAGCCTATGCATTACGGGAATAATTGGGGATGTTCCGGCAAGACCGCTGAAAACGATTGAACTGCAGTAAATCATTTTTTAGGAAGAGTTCAGTTTTCAACGACAAACAGTTTTTTTTTGTTTTACACTGATGGCGACCAAAACTCATTGACGCCGTGGGTCCAATTATTCGTTACTTGATGGGAATGGGAACGACCATTTCTGCTCTAATACATGGACTACGTGCAAACTTTTGCAAGACAAACAAGGAAGTGCCAACTCATACGTCCATTTCGACGAAATGAACGTGCAAATCGGTACAATGTAGATGAATTAGCGACTTAGACGAAATCTGGAACGTGCTACCGCCAAGCTTTCGTGTCATGCACGTACCCATGAAAATAAATTTGACACTAATCCGATCAGGATTTTTTTGAACCCCACCACTTTTCGAACGATAAGAAGAACAGCTGTCATGGTGATGGATAGACTAGATTTGATAGAAGTGAAATTACTTTCTGAACCGGTTTAGTTACTTTTCAAAACTCATAACAAATGCCCTGGGTATGTAGGAGGCGCGTATCATTCTTACACCCTCCTTTTCATGAAAAAGCAGTTCAGGTAATCTTTGGGTTCCCGTAATACCCCAGCAAACAACCGGCACTTTTACTTGAAGAAGCTCTGAGGAGAAGAAGATGTTTATCAGACTTGTGGGGCTTGGTCACCCCAGGAACGAAAGGGTTCTGGCTTCGCGTGGGAAGGGAGGGTAGACTCGATACCTCGAGGGAGATACGTGTTGTCGAAAGTGTCAGATCTTGCACGAGCGTACCTAGTCCTCCGTCCCTTTCAATAGGCTCGATGGTCATGTGCTGATATAAAGGCATTCATCCTTCTGTTACCGGAATGCTGTATAAGTTATAACCTGGAACGATTAGATTGTAAGCTTTGTATGGCATTTTCAGCAAAACTTGGCTTCAAGGATCAACATCGATTACCCTAATCCATCCTTTTTCTGAAGCTCCATAGGGAACCACTCAAAAGTAGAATCTTAAAAGAGCAGTAACTTCGCATTTTGAAATGCTTTGATTTGGTTTGAAGTCAGGAAAAGATAACGGTTTCTGCTCTTAGCCGTTCAAAGTCTGAGACGTATGTTCCATACAATCGTCGGTTGTACCGTAAACCATTTCGTACCACAGCGAATACCATAATAATCATCGATAAATATAGCAAACCCGAGTCGGTAGCAATGTAAAAGAGCAAGTAGGCCGGCAACGTCGCTATTCATTTAGCTTGAAGTAGACGTGAAACTCAAGCGATCATGTAAAGTTCAGAGAAGCAAAAGTAGACTCTCCAAACTTTCAATGAAACTATTGACTGGTCTCATTTCCGTGGTCGTGTATGACGTCTTGTTAGCATTACAGCAATCAGTGCAAACTAGCCTGCTCACAGTGATAATCTTTGTCCCTTTCCAGCATGCTGAGCTTAATCCAACGTTCGTCGCTTATTGGCCTCCGAGGTCATCCAGCCATTTCAATTTCACCAAGAATGGTTTCCAATAAGATCACTGATGCATACAAAAGCAAAGTGGTGAGAATTTTTGCAATTTGTGTGGTTGCCGTTCTGGAATCGGTAAGAGTCGCTTAGTTCGCATTGGTGTACAGCGAGATTGGATTTTCGATTATACTCTATAAGAGAGCCTTCGCCCTGGGAGACACCATCAAGAAAGAGACGATATGCTCTGTTGTGGCTTCGAAAACGGTCTAGTAATGCCTCAACAGTTGTCCAGGTAGTTTTTCTGTAACGCCCACTGCTTGGAACATGTCAAGCATAGGAATACTGTACTCGTTTTGGCTGCTTTCATAGTCTGCCGGCAGGCCGGCGTGCCACGAGGCAGTGCTAGGGGGAGGAGGGCGGCAGACGGTCGGTCGAAGGGGTGAAAACAAAAAAGAACAAGATCAAAAACCAAACAACCAGGGGCTTGAACAAATGGTTTTTGATGTTGTCTCTCCTTGTTTGCAGCCCTTCGAGGGGCTGACCGACCGTCTGCCGCCCTCCTCCCCCCTAGAACTGCCTCGTGGCGCCCCGGCCGGCCGGCGGACTATGTAAGCAGCCTTTCCTTCCACAACTCACAGATAGCTGGGAATGGCGATTCATGAAAGGCTCATTCTTCTCGAACTCCTCTGGAGCTCTACCGAATGCCTTTTCCTCCAGTTGCCTAGATATGAGAGTGCCGAAGTCACTCAAAAATAAGTGATAGCTCAGAAAACTGTTGGTGATGATTTTGCTGGAAAAGATTAGTGTGATCATTGTAAGAGCACTGCGTGAAGTATTTCCTGGCATAGAGCTACGGACCAGCTTGATGAGTAAAGTCGAAAAGTCTGGAGAAGTCGAAAAAAGTAACTCGAATGCCGAAAAGTTCGATATTTGAGTAAATGTTTTTCCGCACCATTTCATCGATTTCCCTATTGCAGGCTCAGTCAGATGCCAGTGAAGCTACCGGCTATGCCACAAAGGCATCATTCGATCAGCAGATGAAGTCGCAGAGATTCCGCGGCGCCGATGCAGGTAGGACGATATTCTAATCATACTTCCTCTTTCACAGTACATTATCTCTGAGACACGAAACAGAATTGATGGGATGTGTTTGAAGCCGAGAATCGCCTTTAATAGTCGTGCCAAGGAAAACTACAACCCATTCACATGTATTTAGTTAGCCCCCACATAGGAGTCAGTCTTCATTCCACAAGAAAAGTGTGCGTTCTACTCAGAAGTGGATTATTAGCTTGGAACGATGGGGAATAGATGACGGGTATGGATATTAAGGGTTGTAAAAGCTGCATGAGAAAAACGGGTACGGTATCACACTAGTTTACAGCACGGTTCATTCTTTGGCGCAGTCCCTAGAAGGCTGTTTGACATGCCCACTGTTGAATGACAGGACGAATTGAATCGTCCCGTGAATNCTGCACAAGGAAAACGGGTACGGTATCACACTAGTTTACAGCACGGTTCATTCCTTGGCGCAGTCCCTAGAAGGCTGTTTGACATGCCCACTGTTGAATGACAGGACGAATTGAATCGTCCCGTGAATGTGTAACACAGTAACCCAAACACACGCTGAGGCGCCTTCAAAACGCCTGTCATTTATACGACGCAAAGGAAAGGTACCTCGGGTAAAGCCCACCGGCTTAGGTTGTGGGGTAGTAGTGGGTTACGGTGTCACACATTCACGGGACGCCAAAATCCCTCTAATTGTTGAAGGTCCATAGCATAGTGGGCACTTGATGGGGACTCTGAAATATCATTACACCTTTCCTGAGCTGTTTTGGACATTATAGCGCCCCATATCACCCCTTCGGGGTTATCCTGGTCTCTATTTGTATGCTTGACGCTGAGATTCATTGCCGCAGAGTATCGGCACTATCAGTTATTCGGAGAAAAGAAGCGTTGATGTAATGAATCTGTGATGTTGAACGTGAAAAAGAACAGAAGAATTACAGTTCTTCATTTCAGAAACCGGGGAAGCTCCGACGGCGCGCCAGAGATTCTGTCTTGTGCTCACAAGGGTGTACCGAAACAGTGGAGAAATTCCCCAATACGTCACGTGAGAATTTCTATTTGTTCCTGAAGGTTATTCCAGATGAAGGCAGGTGTAGCGCAGTGCTGACAGCTTCCAAAGCAACATCCGAGGCACAAAAAGCATCCAGGGCACTTAGGCGGACCAACAACGCCATGCTTAGTTAATTGTTTCCTACTTGGGGATGAGAGATCGCAGAACCGATCACGGTATAGAAACTAAAGCATGTTGCTGTTGTTTTGATTGCGCATGTGGCCTAGGCAAGGCTTGCGGAAAGGCTAGCCAACGGATGGGGTCGCTCTTTTTACGTCCTAGACCAGTCTGGCACCATTCAACTAAGCCCGATTCTGGCTTGGCTCACCTTGGTAGGATATCAATTTGGGAGTCTATTCCTGGAGTAATGCCACCGCCATTCACCTCCTCCCACCACCACAGTATTCGCGCTATTACGCTTTCGGCGTTCTTTTTCAGTTGAAGCCCTCATAAGGCAATTCAGTGAATGGGAGCACCGCAACCTCCCTACACGCTCAACCCAGGTAGAGCTTTTATAGTGGAGGATCTGCAAATAGCAGTTACCTAAGTTGGATAGAAAGACGACATATTCAGGTGTGTCCTTTCTTCAGAGCAAATAGCAGCATCCCACAGCAATTCAACCACAGCTGAATCGAACTGTGCGCAGGACATATGACCGCCAATTGTATTAATAATTGTTATCAAAGAGTGGAAGTCTGGATGATACCATGACTTCTGCTGTAAGGCAACAACCAGGTTCCTCGTTGTAAAGACGGCCTCTTTGTAGACACCGCCTTCAAACTATGCTATAGCTTGGGTAGCTAACTCTACTGAGCTCAAGTGTACGGTCAGCGGTGCTTAGGTTCAGAGAAGTTCTTATGCCAAAAATATGTCAGAGAAAGTAGTGGAGGGTGCTACAAACGACTGTGGCAACCAATTGTATCTACAAGGGTAAACCTTTCGTTTATGAGAGTTCATCTAGATGGATCGAAATGATTATCATGGGTAAACAGAAGGCACCTTTATGAAAATGAAACTTAAACCTCCAACCACCACCAGATTATGTCAAATTCCAGGCCACCTCTCAAAAAGATCGTGGCCTGAGCCCCGTTGATGTGCTCCCTTAGGCTCAGTAGAGGGAACTGTAGGCTGCTAGCTTGAACAAGTAGGAATCTAAGCTGTATCAAAGTAGTGCTCAATATTTCAGGACTGGAACGATGAATCGCATGTATGATCGCATGCGTATCGTCTTCATATCTGTTGGAGTGGCTTGCTTTTTCCCCTTATTTTACTGGTCCCATTACTCCAATGTCCAGAGGGTCTCTCGAGACCGTGAGGCCGGAGTCGTCGTGCATAAAATGTATTCCAGCTTATTTTTTCTTTATGATTTTCAGCACGACATTCAAGCCATTTTCAGGAGCAATGTAAGTCAAGCATAATCGTCTCAATCTAGAAGACATCAAATAAATATATTGTGACAGTGGCGGTGGTGGTGATGGTAGTCCAATATCCAATTTCACGGATCAGTTCTTCTCTACTAACACGAGTCTTTTCAACGGATCCATAACATTCACTCCACTTTCCATTGTCTGTAAATCGTACTCTCTTTTTTCAGCTTTTTTTTATTTGATGATTATTCGAACCGACTTCGTTTTAGTATTAGTAAAGTGCGACTTGTTCGATTACTTTCTCTTGGTCTGAAATGTATTATATTTGTAACACACTGTTCGATTTTGTACATATTCACTGGAATTAAATCTCGATTACTACTGTAAAGCATTGTTGTTGATTTCGGTTCGCAACCCAAACTTCCGAATGCTGTGATCTCAATTCCCCTTCACTTTCCAGGGAGTAGCATCTTTCCTAGCTCAAGTTTTACAGCTAAAACAAAACCGTCACCATGGGCATTTTCCGAAAGGTCTTCATGAGCGCTGCAGGTCTCCGTGACGATTACCAGGTAATATAATGAAAGAGTTCGAAATCACCTCAACCAGAATGAAATGGTTTGTTTTTAGAGACCAGAAATTGGCACAACTGAAGTCAAAAGAGAGCGTCTTACTCCCGAGCAAGTGAAATTGGTTTTGGACCCCAAAGCAAGACACAGCGGTGTAAGTTCATATTTTTCCCTATTTCAAAAATTCCATCTTAGCAATACCGTCCAGCGTTAATACACACATAGATCTGTTACACTGTCTAATAGGCTCATTCCAAAAATGGACTCAGTACGTTGAGCGATCACTAGTCCATCATGAGTTACCACTTTTCTTTTCCTGCATCCCATACACTCTGAAGCCGATTCCCTGGGTGAAATTGACGGAATGCCCATCACCTTGGCGGGTAAACAAACAAATAAATAGCCAGATAAATAAAGTGGTACATGTAAATTTTTACTATGCTTATACTTGTACCAGGGCATAGGTGGTGTAGTGGCAAGTGGCGCGATATATCACACGTACGGTCCGGGGCTCGAATCCCGATCGATGCCCGCCTCGGCCAACCAAGCCTTCCATCCCTCCGGGTCGATGAATTGATACCAGACTCACTTGGGAGGGTAAAAGCACTGACTTGTACGTCGGCTGGCCACCGCGAGTCATTGTATAGGATACATACGCACTCATTACGCCACTACGATTCTGAATGGAAGTCGAGTGCAGGGGCACATCCCTCCGACGGGATTGATTAACCTGAAAAACTTTATCCTTTACTTTATCCTTTATACTTGTACCAGTACTCCCAACTCTCCATACTTAGCTGGCTATCATGCTTTATATGAAGATTCGTTCCATAGCCTTCATGCAAAGCGGAATAGTGACCAAGGCGAAGGAGAGATCAGCATATACACCAACTTCCTTCCCATACGCATATCATCTGGATCACCCAATAACACATTCACGAAGTAGTCTCTCAGAAGCTTTGTGAATTCAACGTCACTAGAAATTAGAACAGCTTTCGAAATACATCGTATCCATAAGTGAGTGTGAAAAATAAGTGCGAGCTCGAGAAACAACACCTCATCTATCGGGATGTCAGAGCTGAGAAACTGTATTTGAGTATGGGCTACAAAATGATGATTTGATTGGGGAGAACTTTCACTTTGAAGATGCAGGGAAATAGAAAAATAGGAACTATTACTATTTTAATACCGATAAGACAGCAGTAACAGTTCGCTCTACCTTTATAGATTCTCAACAATCGCCAACATTACAAGAAGTAAACGGTCTCGCATTTTGTATTGGAATCAGGAACAATTATGGTCCCTGTTGAGCCTATAGATCTCGGGACACCCGGGACATGCCGTGGTCCAATTCCAAGAAAGATTGCGAGTTTTTTCCACTATGACTTTTATTAGCACATATATAGCACTCTAGCACTTACAATTAGTACTTACTTAGTTTACTAGTACTAGATTAACAAGTTTAATCACTCATCATCATTGCCATAAATTTTATCGCCTACAATCAGTAGATATTTTCGCAATCTTGCAAGCATATTATTGCAAAGATTGCGGAAAATTTTGTCATGTTCCCTTCTTACTAGCCCTTACCGGCTCTTATAAGCTTCTATAACTTCTGTCACCCACTTACAACGTTCTGGTCACACCCCCCAAAAACACGGAAAGGTCAGTGATCGAACTCCTTATCAATGATATGAAGCGTGCGAACGGATTCTCGCTTCCTACTGCTCAGACACAACATGGCCGACCCACTGTGGGCCCTGTCACTTGGCCCGGGGGACGGAACATTCACCCAGAACTGGATGGACGCGGCAAACCGCGCGGCGAAAATCGTTGTGATTAAAACGACTCTG